ATATATATATATCCATATATATATACCTGCCCTTGAACATTATACACACCTATCTTCGTATACGTATATTTATTTATTTATTTTCTTAAAGCTATTGACAAAAATGAGAGTCAATTTTAATTTAAACAAGTAAGAAAGCTCTAGTCGAGACTGCTCGACTACGAGATCCCCTGAACCCTTGGAGCAATAGATATTTCAATACTTTTTCGCGACTTTCAGCTTACACAAGAAACACGCACACACACACACACACACGCACGTACGCACACACAGGTATACATACACACACACGCATACAGACACACATACACAGACACACGCATACAGACACAAACGCATACACACACACACATACACACACACATACACATACAAGCAACCACGCATAAACACGCATGGGCTGCAGTGTGCGCTTACTATGAGAACTTAATTGTTTAATAACTTTTTTTATGGACGTACGATCTTCATGAAACTTTTAGATTATGATTATAACATGAATATGCATGTAATTGCCAAAGCACAAGTCTCTAGTATTTGAAATACGCTTTTTACAAAAGTGAGGGTGAGGGGGTGAATTTAGAGGTGGGGGGTAAATTTTAACAAAAACCGAAATTGTATAAATTGCATATAAGCATACATTAAAAATTTGGAGACTCTAGCAATAAAGGTGTAGAAGATATAATTTTATAACTGGGTTTCGATAAGGTTTTTTATCGATAAAAAAAAGATCGAGATGAGTTATCGATTTTTAATGATAAACTTGATATGCGCGCTGTAATTACGGACATTTTAAAAAAAATTTGAAGTCTCTAGCTCTTATATCTTCTGAAATCGACGCGTTCATACATACGGACAGACGGACAGACGGACAGACGGACAGACAGACGGACAGGGCCAAATCAACTCAGCTCGTCACCCTGATCAAGAATATATATACTTTGTGGGGTCTGCCACGCCTCCTTCTCCCTGTTACATACATTTCAACAAAACCATTATACCCTGATTTCCCATTGAAAATGGGTTCAGGGTATAAAAAGCCTATGCGCAATTATACTCATTTACATATATACACCCCCTGATCCTCGCGCATAAAATCGCACAATTAACCCATATATATATGTATCCATATATATATATGCACTTACACATTATAAACTTCGCCTATATAAAATTATGCATGCATATATGTATGTATGCACGCATTCACTATTTTCACGCAAACTATTCTCTTCTCCTTTTTTTTCTAAGCCAGCAATATTCGCCATTATATTTGCGTATATGCGCAATTTTTTCAATTTTGTCATTTTCATGCATCTCTACGCGTTCATTTGTTAACTTTCCTATTCACTTTCCTTCTCGCTCGCATACTTACATACTTGCATACATGCATACACGCGTAGCCATCTACTCCCATCCATATACGTACATTCACATATGCGCGCTCATTTGATCATTTTTCTATTCTCTCTTCTTTCGCTAATCCGCTAATACATACTTACACGCCGGCCGTTACAACGGTACCGGCTAACCCACGCTACAATTTCGGCGCGCTTTTGGTACAGCACGCGCAAAAAATTTAGAATTCGCGAACTCTGGAATGTTCGCGATTTCTCGATCAGGCTACGGGGGGTTTTATATGTTAAAATTTCACAATTTTCGACCTCTAACTGTCGGTCATTATACGCACCGCGCACCACCCTGGGTCCCTGCTCAGGCGCCACTGTAAGGTAGTAAATTCACAGCTGGGGAAGACTCAGTCTGCCCAGGGTTATCTCACAAGAAATTTATTTGTATATACGTGTGATACCAGGGGGGGGATGATTAAGCGTTATGGTAGGCGATGGGGAAAAGAGGGGTGAAATTAAAAAGGAACCGCCACTCACGAGTAACTCTTACGAAACTTTATCCTCCGTTATGTCATCTGCCCGCCGTTGGATCCTCTGCCAATCTTTCGTAATTGCTTTCACCGCCTTTCCCAATAGATTAACTTTTCTCGTTCCAGTTGCCAATTGCCGTTTATTTTCACAAATTACTTAACCTCTTTTAAAAACTAACCGCTTTTTTTAAAACTAATCGCACAATTTGAATTCACTTCTACTCGTCGTCCGACGACTTTCGCTCCTCAACGCCGACTAACTCTCGGTTTTTTCTTGCTCGCCCAAAACGCTCGACGTCGGCGACGCAACTCAATTCAAAACTCTCCACGCAGGGTTGCGCCGCCGATCGCCGATAGATCATTTACGCTTTGGGCGGCTGTTTTTAATGAAAAATTTAAATAAACACTAATACTACTCAATTGATTAACTTAAACTCTAATTACTATTCCTAAATCTTAACCTTAACCTTAACTAATTCAACTTAAAAAATCTATAAATCTAATTTAATATTTTATATTTCATATTAATTAATTCAACTCAAAAATCTATTTTCACTTATCGTAAAAGCTTATATAAATCCAACTCAATATTTCCTGTTCCTTATTAATTAATTCAACTCAAAAATCTATTTTCCCTTATCGGTTAATCTTATGAAGCGGTGATCGGCGAGCCGCCTCACAGCTTTGACCACCAAGTTGATGTTGCTGTGCCTCGACTCACAGCTGGGGTTGGTAAGCCAATGCACAAATCTATAATACTTTAGCACTTCACTTTGTACTAATCACAAACATTTTTCCTTGTGGATTGAATTGAAGTATTAACAAGTAAGAAGGCTCCAGTCGAGACTGCTCGACTAGGAGATACCCTGAACCCTCCAAACTGATATTCGAATCATTCTGGACTTCTTTTATGCACACATACATACACATGCACGTATAAGCACGCGCTCTGCTAACTGCGCAGCTAGCAGCGGCTGCGCTTGGGCTGCACTGTAGTGTGGGCCATATTATGATAATTTATTTGTTGAATAATTTCTTTTGTAGACATACACTCTTAATGAAACTTTTAGAGCGTAATCATATGGTTAAATTGTGTGTACATTTTAAAGCACAAGTCTCTAGTACTTGAAATGCGTTTTTTACAAAATGGGGGCGAAGGGGGCGTGGTATCCCAAATCTGTAAATTACGAAATCTTTGTATCCATTAACTTTATATACAATGCAAATTTGAAGTCTCCAGGTCTTAAAGTGTTCAAATTAGGCTGAAAAAACCAAGTCGAATTTTCGATTCTTCTCGATAAAAAAGTTATCGGACGAGTTATCGAAAAAATATGATAAACTTGTACTGCCTATGGTATACACGAGTATGCATGCCAAATTTCAGCTCTTAAGCTCTTATATCTTCTGAGATCCTTTTGCTCATACGGACGGACAGACGGACAGGGCTATATCGACTCAGCTCGTCGTGCTGATCAAGAATATATATACTTTATGGGGTCTACGATGATTCCTTCTGCCTGTTACATACTTTTCAAAAACCATTATACCCTGATTTCCCATTTTCAATGGGTTCAGGGTATAAAAATACTTCATCCGACTCGAAGGACCATGAACGAATACACTTGACTATGATGGTGTTTAGTTGCGTATTGATCTTTATTCTTCTGAGCCTGGGTTTATATATCCAGACTCATGCATAATTTCAACCCTTAAATCTAGTGCGTCTATTGCTGAGTGTGTAAGGCTCAGCATTGGTCTATTACATATTCTTATCTTATCGCAGTGTTTGTAAGGCTCCGCGTGGGTCTATTAGCTATTCTTAACCTATCGCTGAGGTTGTAAGGCTCAGCGTTCGTCTCTTACATAATCTTGTCGCTAAGGGTCAGAGTCATGTGTTATCTATTATATGTATGCTAGCTGTTGAGTAATTAGAGTGTACATATGTTCCCATACTTATCACATTTCTATGTTCATGCATGTGCATGAACAGCAGGAGATATTTTCGCGTTTGGGTATACCAAGAACGCTGAGAACCGACAACGGTCGGCAATTCGTAAGTCTCGAATTTCAAGATTTTTGCCGGAACAACGGTATTACCCAAATAACGACTCCGCCGAACGAAGTAGAAAATATGAACAGGTCTTTAGTAAAACGCCTAAAAATCGCGTGGTCGAAAGAGAAAGACTATAAACAAGACATTCAAAACTTCGTCATGATGTACAACGTAAAACCGCATGGGACCACAGGAGCTGCACCGTCGAAATTGATGTTTAACAGAATCATTAGAGACAAAATACCAGACATTCAGGACTTGGTAGGTGATGTTGGTGAATCCTCGGAAAGAGACTTTGATAGCTTAAACAAACAGAAGGGAAAAGAGAGAGCAGACAAGGGAAGAGGCGCCAAAACATCGGATATCCAGCCCGGCGACAAAATCGTGCTGAAGAATGTCCTGTGCCCACACAAACTGACACCCACGTTCGATACAACCGAGGACGTGGTAATCAACAGAAAGGGGAATATAGTCCAAGTGCAAGGAGGAGGAAAAACACTAACAAGGGATGTGAGTCATTTAAAAAAGATTACAGTTGCAGGTACTCATGGAGCTGCAGCGACAATCGATAGTGTCCAGGACACGGGCACACATAGGCAAACGCCTCAAGTACAGGAAACTGGAGCCGGCGCGCAGGACAATGGGTTGAAGATGAAGCTGAAAAATATTGGAGGGATGTGGAGAACCGTACCAAGAGAGCTTTCTTTGGAAGGCGATCCACACACAGAAAGCTCCGCGGCACAAGCCACTGAATGAGCTTTCATATGCGAGCTTTATTATTATTGTTACTTTTGTTCCTTTTGCTACTTCTATTCTTCTTGCCAGCGGGCGTGGCTGATCATCGCGACGCGCGAATAAATAAATATTAATTTGCAAACTAATAAACCGATAACTGTATTTACTTAAACTCGGGCAAACACGGGCTGATACAGTGGTTATTGTTCGTTAGGTAAATAGTGACGCTATCTTGATTATATTTGGTTACTTGGTTATTTCAATTTAAAAAAAATCGAAAATCATCATTGATTTGCAATTCCTATTCGTATATATATGTATGTAAATTTATTTTTTGCAACGATTTTATTTGATTTATATTTTGTAATTGATATAATACATTTTTACGTTGCAAATCAAATTTTTTTTTGGATGCACTCTAAGATAAAATTTTAGTTGTCTGTGTATATTTAAAGTTCGTATACTTAATGTTTGCTTAATCTCATAATTGTGAGTACTTAAAGAATCTTAGAGCTTACATTTGTTTTCAATTAAGCAATATCAGCCTTATGTATACACATACATACATATGTATATTATACTTGGCTATGGTCAACAATACGAAATTGAGTTATATAGTATATTTATTCGTTCAACCCATTCACAATATATATTCAAAGTAGTGTTTTTGTGCAAATGTATACAAATAGTAAAAGGAGGCGTGGCAATTCAGTTTAAGTTTATTAATTAATATGTTTATGTTATTTATCTAAGCTGAGTCTATCTAACCGTGTCAATGTGCTCGCCAGGGGATCTGCCAATTCAAATTAACGCAGTGAAATCGTATTGGACAAAAGCTGGGAACTTCAAATTATATATGTACATACATATGAATGTATTTGCACTGTTTGTTTATAATGTTTTCGTAAAGCAACTTTTTTCATTGGGGGCTAATAAAACACAGTGTGTGAAAATCGCACAATCGTAATATGCATCCTTTAAAATATAAAAAAATTGTTTAAAAATTTAGAAACATTTTTAAAAATTAACATGGGATTATTGATATTCTTACTTCATATAAAAATAAAATAACAACTAAACTAAATTGAAAACATTACATCTTCAGACCATAAAATCGTTCATCGTAAATCGGAAAGCTATGTACGTCTCTTAAAAAAAAAGCTTAACTAAAGCAATCATTTATTTTAGTATTTTGTTGGTCCCCTTGGTCATTTTTAAGCGTTTCAATTCTTTTTGGAAGTTTCCACAGCTACATACATATGTATATTGTTCCACTCCTTAATATATACATACAGCTTAAGATCGTGCCTATTCAAAATGCTGTGAACCCATTTTCAATGGGAAATCAGGGTATAATGGTTTTGTTGAAATGTATGTAACAGGCAAAAGGAGGTGTGGCAGACCCCACAAAGTATATGTATATATTCTTGATCAGACGACGAGCTGAGTTGATTTGGCCCTGTCCGTCTGTCCGTATGTATGAACGCGTCGATTTCCGAAGATATAAGAGCTAGAGACTTCAAATTTTTTATGGACGTACGATCTTCATGAAACTTTCAGATTATGATTATAACATGAATATGCATGTAATTGCCAAAGCACAAGTCTCTAGTATTTGAAATACGCTTTTTACAAAAGTGAGGGTGAGGGGTGAATTTAGAGGTGGGGGTACATTTTAACAAAAACCGAAATTGTATAAATTGCATATAAGCATACATTAAAAATTTGGAGACTCTAGCAATAAAGGTGTAGAAGATTTATTTTTATAACTGTTTTTCGATAAGGTTTTTTATCGATAAAAAAGATCGGGATGAGTTATCGATTTTTAATGATAAACTTGATATGCGCGCTGTAATTACGGACATTTTAAAAAAAAATTTGAAGTCTAGCTCTTATATCTTCTGAAATCGACGCGTTCATACATACGGACAGACGGACGGACGGACAGACAGACGGACAGGGCCAAATCAACTCAGCTCGTCGCCCTGATCAAGAATATATATACTTTGTGGGGTCTGCCACGCCTCCTTCTGTCTGTTACATACATTTCAACAAAACCATTATACCCTGATTTCCCATTGAAAATGGGTTCAGGGTATAATTAAGTTCTCATAGTAAGCGCACACTGCAGACCATGCGTGTTTATGCGTGGGTGCTTGTGTGTGTATGCGTGTTTGTGTGTGTGTATGTGTGTGTGTATGCGTGTGTGTGCATGTATGTCTGTGTGTGCGTTCGTGCGTGTGTGTGTGTGTGCGTGTTTCTTGTGTAAGCTGAAAGACGCGGTATTTTATTGAAATAGCTATTGCTCCAAGGGTTCAGGGGATCTCGTAGTCGAGCAGTCTCGACTAGAGCTTTCTTACTTGTTTTTACTGGTATGGTAACTAGATATTTTGTAAGGTCTCATATTATAGTTATTGCATACTCATTGGAATTCTGCATTCTCCATATGGGTGATTTGTCGATTTTGGCGGCATGAAGTCTGGAGCCTTCTTACCTGTTTATGAATAGTCAGGTTCGCCTGAGGCTGTGCCGTAGACTGACTGACTTTGTTTATTTACTCCTATACTATTGTATAATATGAGAGCAGGACCGAAAACTGTCACTGTTATCAAGCCTACTGAGTATCAATGGAAATTTGAATCTTTAGAGAAAAAACGCGTTTTTCAAGTATTCTTCAAATTTTTTCAGTATTTTTAAGATCTACTATCCTACTCGTAGCGAAAACAAATCCAAACCTTTAAAACAACTCTCTTTTATATATATAGATAATATGTAGATCATATGCTGAGTTTCGTTAAATTCCATTAAGTCAAAAATTAATTAAAACTCATCAAATATTTGGCCAATAAACAAACGCACATGCAGCAGCTACAACAGCATCGCATACGTGTGCACACATACATTCAAACTTCTTCTGGAACATTCTTTGAATCACATCAGCTGTTAGTTTGGTTTTGTCAGCGCAGCTTCCAAAAGTGAGGTGGCGTAGTGTGTTAGCGGCATAGCGCTTGATAGAGAAGTCGCGGTTCGAATCCCGATCGGTGCAACTGATGTTAATTTTTTTAATTGTTTCAAAATATTTTTATATTTTCATAAATGAGTTTTCTATTTAATTTATATTTTTAAATACACCGAAATTGAAATTTTAACCATACTAAATGTGCGTTTTTAATAGTTTGGTTATTCTAGCAGATTCTTAGAATCACATCAGCAGTTAGTTTGGTTTAGTTTTGCTAGATGGCGTTGCAGCAGTGAATCTATTTCAGTTTTGCCAAAACGGCTTCCGAAAATGAGGTGTCGTAGTGAGTAGCTGCGTGACACTCGATCAAGTCGCGGGTACGAATCCCGAGCGGTGAAACTTATGTTAATTTTTTTAATTGGTTCAAAATATTTTTATATTTTATTAAATGAGTTTTGTATTTAATTTATATTTTTAAATGCATCGAAATTGAAATTTTAGCCATACTAAACGGGCATTTTTATACCCTGAACCCATTTTCAATGGGAAATCAAGGTATAATGATTTTGTTAAAAGTATGTAACAGGTAGAAGGAGGCGTGGCAGACCCCACAAAGTATATATATTCTTGATCAGGGCGACGAGCTGAGTCGATTTGGCCCTGTCCGTCCGTCCGTCCGTATGTATGAACGCGTCGATCTCAGAAGATATAAGAGCTAGAGACTTAAAAATTTTTTTTCCTAGGTCCGTGTATATCACGCGCATATCAAAATTATTCAACAAATAAATTCTTTTAATGTTGTGTGTGTATGCGTGTGTGTGCATGTATGTCTGTGTGTGCGTTCGTGCGTGTGTGTGTGTGTGCGTGTTTCTTGTGTAAGCTGAAAGACGCGGTATTTTATTGAAATAGCTATTGCTCCAAGGGTTCAGGGGATCTCGTAGTCGAGCAGTCTCGACTAGAGCTTTCTTACTTGTTTTTACTGGTATGGTAACTAGATATTTTGTAAGGTCTCATATTATAGTTATTGCATACTCATTGGCATTCTGCATTCTCCATATGGGTGATTTGTCGATTTTGGCGGCATGAAGTCTAAAAATAAAGCTAAAAGCCAAAGTTTTTTTTATACCCTGAACCCATTTTCAATGGGAAATCAGGGTATAATGGTTTTGTTGAAATGTATGTAACAGGCAGAAGGAGGCGTGGCAGACCCCACAAAGTATATATATTCTTGATCAGGGCGACGAGCTGAGTCGATTTGGCCCTGTCCGTCTGTCCGTATGTATGAACGTGTCGATTTCAGAAGATATAAGAGCTAAGGACTTCAAATTTTTTTTAAATGTCCGTAATTACAGCGCGCATATCAAGTTTATCATTAAAAATCGATAACTCATCCCGATCTTTTTTTATCGATAAAAAACCTTATTGAAAACCAGTTATAAAATTATATCTTCTACACCTTTATTGCTAGTCTCCAAATTTTTAATGTATGCTTATATGCAATTTATACAATTTCGGTTTTTCTTAAAATTTACCCCCCACCCTTAAATTCACCCCCTCACCCTCACTTTTGTAAAAAGCGTATTTCAAATACTAGAGACTTGTGCTTTGGCAATTACATGCATATCTATGTTATAATCATAATCTAAAAGTTTCATGATGATCGTACGTCCACAAAAAAAGTTATTAAGCAATTAAGTTCTCATAGTAAGCGCTCACTGCCGCCCATGCGTGTTTATGCTTGTGTGTGTATGTGTATGTTATTGTTTGTGTATGTGTGTGTGTGTATGTGTGTGTGTATGTATGTGTGTGTATGTATGTGTGTGTATGTATGCCTGTGTGTGCGTGCGTGTGTGTGTGTGTGTGCGTGTTTCTTGTGTAAGCTGAAAGACGCGAAAAATTATTGAAATAGCTATTACTTCAAGGGTTCAGAGGATCTCGTAGTCAAGTAGTCTCGACTAGAGCTTTCTTACTTGCATTACTAATATATTTTTGAATTTTTTCTCTTAAATAGTTCCACGCCTTTTTTCGCCTCCTTTTAAGTATACGTAAATTTCAGTTGCTTTTTAAATGTCTTCATATATAGGGAAAAAACTCTTTGCAAAAACTTTGACACTTTTCTGGGTTGATAGAGAACTCACACCATATAGCTATTAATATATAGTAAAGGTTATTCGGCCGAGAAGCGTGTAGTTAGTGAACGCAAAGGAAACTTTAAGTGCATTTTCATTGGTTATATATATTGGTTTTGTGCAATGTCCGTCTTGCTGTCCGTCCGTCTGTCCGTCTGTCCGTATGAACGCAATTTCGGCGCTATTGAAGCTAGAGACTTGAAATTTGGAGCACATACTCGTGTATATTTCCTATTTATAAAGTGTTAAAATTTTCCCGATCCGCCCACTAGGGGCATGGCAAATCGGAAAATGCATTTTCCGATATACCAGAAATCATGTTAGTTAAAGAGCTAGAAAGCTGAAATTTGGTATGAAGGTCCGCGTCGACCACCCAAGATCACGAGCTATGGCGGATATAT